TTATGATGTTATCTTTTCAGTAGTTCCACTAAAAGATATTCTCTTTTGAAATATGAATTGGTGAAAATTATGCCTCTTAGCTTATTTCCTTGCAAGTACTGCACTTTTAATCTTTTTTAAGTCATTGAAAATGAACCTCCAAGCAGAATCACACCAAGACATCACATTGTCTGATTCATATCCTGTATACTCTGGCGCATTTCTGATACTGGGTCCCGCCCACTACATGTGCTAGAAGATAACTTTTTTCATTGTTATCAATCTCATTCTTTACTTTGCTAAGTTTTGAAGTTAGTTTGACGCTAATGTAGTTTCAAACAATATCATGAAAATCGAATTAGTTATCTGAAAAGTTAAATTTTAACAGTTTTATGTATATCTAATACTTTTGCTTTATTTTCTTATGTGCAAAAGTTTGAAATATCTTATTTAATTGAAAAGTTAGTCCAATCTATGAGTTGGTTTCATTGTTTTATTTAATATTATGCAGCTCATTTTCTTTTGGATTATTGTTTCAATGTCCTTGTCTTGTATCCAAGCGATTTTAAAATGAAGCATCTTGTAATGATATAGCATAGGGTTCTTGTATCATTGTCAATTTATCCTTTTGTATATGCATTCTCCATCCCTACATATTTAGTATCAAATTCTTAGCATAAAATTTTGTTTGTGGATATTGCAGGAAAGTCAACTCTCACTGATTCTCTTGTGGCTGCTGCTGGAATCATTGCACAGGAAGCTGCTGGAGATGTTAGAATGACTGATACTCGTGCTGATGAGGCTGAGCGTGGCATCACAATCAAATCTACAGGGATTTCTCTCTACTACGAGATGTCTGGTGAATCCCTGAAAGCCTACAAGGGTGAGAGGTCAGGAAATGAGTATCTTATCAACCTTATCGATTCACCTGGGCACGTTGACTTTTCATCTGAGGTCACTGCTGCTCTGCGTATTACTGATGGCGCCTTAGTCGTCGTTGACTGCATTGAGGGTGTATGTGTTCAGACTGAAACTGTTCTCCGACAGGCCTTGGGAGAAAGAATCAGGCCTGTCTTGACTGTTAACAAGATGGACCGTTGCTTCTTAGAGCTTCAAGTTGATGGTGAAGAGGCCTACCAGACCTTTCAGCGTGTCATTGAGAATGCGAATGTCATCATGGCTACTTATGAGGATGCGCTTCTTGGTGATGTCCAAGTCTACCCTGAGAAAGGTACAGTTGCTTTCTCAGCAGGATTGCATGGTTGGGCTTTCACCTTGACCAACTTCGCTAAAATGTATGCTTCGAAATTTGGAGTTGATGAGTCTAAGATGATGGAGAGGCTCTGGGGTGAGAACTATTTTGACCCAGCTACCAAGAAATGGACCAGCAAGAACACTGGCACTGCTACCTGCAAGCGTGGTTTTGTTCAGTTCTGTTACGAACCCATCAAGCAGATCATCAACACTTGCATGAACGACCAGAAGGACAAACTGTGGCCTATGTTGACTAAGCTTGGTGTGACCATGAAGTCAGATGAGAAGGAGCTGATGGGTAAAGCTCTGATGAAGAGGGTGATGCAGACCTGGCTGCCAGCTAGCAGTGCTCTACTTGAAATGATGATATTCCATCTCCCATCTCCTGCCACTGCCCAGAGATATCGTGTGGAGAATCTGTATGAGGGTCCCCTTGATGATATATATGCAAATGCCATCAGAAACTGTGACCCAGAGGGCCCTCTCATGCTTTATGTCTCTAAGATGATTCCGGCTTCTGATAAAGGTCGATTCTTTGCGTTTGGACGAGTCTTTTCAGGAAAAGTTTCTACTGGCTTGAAGGTCCGTATCATGGGACCCAATTTCGTTCCTGGACAGAAGAAAGATTTGTATGTAAAGAGCGTCCAAAGAACAGTTATCTGGATGGGCAAGAAACAGGAGTCTGTGGAGGATGTTCCTTGTGGAAACACTGTAGCTATGGTTGGATTGGACCAGTTTATCACCAAGAATGCAACTCTCACAAATGAGAAAGAAGTGGATGCTCACCCAATCAGAGCCATGAAGTTCTCAGTCTCGCCTGTCGTCCGTGTTGCAGTACAGTGTAAGGTTGCCTCTGACCTTCCCAAGCTTGTGGAAGGTTTGAAAAGGTTGGCAAAATCAGATCCTATGGTTGTGTGTACAATTGAGGAGTCTGGTGAACATATCATTGCTGGTGCTGGCGAGCTCCACCTTGAGATTTGCTTGAAAGATTTGCAGGAGGATTTCATGGGAGGGGCAGAAATCAATGTGTCAGACCCTGTTGTTTCCTTCCGTGAAACAGTTCTTGAAAAGTCATGCCGTACTGTGATGAGCAAGTCGCCAAACAAACACAACCGTCTCTACATGGAAGCTCGTCCTCTTGAAGAAGGCCTTCCTGAGGCCATTGACGACGGACGCATTGGTCCTCGTGATGATCCAAAGGTGCGCTCAAAGATTCTTGCAGAAGAGTTTGGATGGGACAAGGATCTCGCCAAGAAAATCTGGTGCTTTGGTCCTGAGACCACTGGTCCGAACATGGTTGTAGACATGTGTAAGGGAGTACAATACCTTAATGAAATCAAGGATTCAGTGGTTGCAGGTTTCCAGTGGGCATCAAAAGAAGGTGCTTTGGCTGAAGAGAACATGCGTGGTATTTGCTTTGAGGTGTGCGATGTTGTTCTTCACGCTGATGCTATTCACAGAGGTGGTGGCCAGGTCATCCCAACAGCAAGAAGGGTCATCTATGCCTCTCAATTGACAGCCAAGCCTAGGCTTCTTGAGCCAGTGTACCTTGTTGAGATTCAGGCTCCTGAGCAGGCTTTGGGAGGTATCTATGGTGTTCTTAACCAAAAGCGTGGACATGTGTTTGAAGAGATGCAGAGGCCTGGTACTCCACTCTACAACATCAAGGCTTATCTCCCGGTTGTTGAGTCCTTTGGGTTCTCAAGTACTCTGAGGGCCGCGACATCTGGACAGGCTTTCCCTCAGTGTGTGTTTGATCACTGGGACATGATGGGCTCTGACCCAATGGATGCCACTTCTCAAGCTGGGCAGCTCGTGGCCAGCATTCGTAAGAGAAAGGGTTTGAAGGAGCAGATGACTCCTCTTTCAGACTTCGAAGACAAGCTTTAAGGTGAGCGCTTATTGTAGTATTGGTCGTGAAGCTGTTACCTAGAATTGAGGGCTTTGAGGCTAGTGTTGTAATACGCATTAGTCTCCTGTTAGTTTTGATACATTTGAATGTTTGAGATTTGCAGAAAGTTCCTCTGCATTTGGTTTCTTGTTTGTGGTTGTAGTGCTCGGACATATTGTTCTTATGCCATCATTATGTAATTGAAGTTTTTTTGTCAACTTATATTTTGTAGGTTAAAAGCTTTTATTGGTTTTATTATTTGCAGCTGTCTCTCGACTTTTGATCTGTGATTTCATGTAACCGATATTTATAATCACAGTGTTTTGATTACTAGGTTTTTTGAGGTTAGATCTTGCTGTCATTTATTTAGTACTTCTATTCAAGGAAGCTCGGTGTCTGATTTTGAATCTGCTGAAGTAGAGTCTTTGCCTGTTCGTAGGCAAGCATCTTTGTTGCCTATGCTAATTTTTATGCTTATCTTTTTGGCTCAGTAGTTTGATGGTTGAAGGAAGAGATGCTTAATCATCATTGCATATGCTTATACTTTCTATGAATGTATTTTCCGGTAGTTTTTTTTTTTCAAACAGCGGTTGGATTGTAATATCATAGATACTGTGGTTTCTGTTAAAAATGTAGATTTTACCTGGTATTCTTTAGGCATCCTCTGAAGAGAATTTATGTATATGCTTTTCTGGCATTCGATTCAACCTTTCATGTTTCTAATGAGCTGTAGATAAAATTCCATCAGGTTACTAGCCACATACCATACCTGTAGTTGTCCCTCAAAATATACAACAAGACGGCAAACTTAGGTACATTCTCTTTTATATCTATTTCAGTTGCTCGTACTTGATGGCTTGAAGATGATCTAGTGCTGGTAAGAAAAATGCTTGCAGAGCGTCACGCGTCGTCCAGACTAGAAAATGTTTCTAGATCTGGACTAATATTTTCCACTGCATACATGATTGTATAATTGTATTAGCAGTGTGATGCTTATCTCAGCTGTAAAGAATGAAAAAGATGATTGGAGCCAAATTGCAGCTTCAAAGGAGGAGGGGAAAAAAAGATAATTGTATTAGCAGTATGATGCTTATTTTTCTTTGTATTCTCACTGTTACATTTTGCCGTCCCTTAACCCCTTCTTGAGAGAGGGAGATTTATTTTTCATTTTCCTTTATACTCTCACTGTTCTTGGTCCTATCATAAATTGTATTTTGCTATCCCTTAACCCCTTCTTGAAGATAAGAGAATAATGACGAAACATAAGGGATACGAGAAGTCTCTTAATCGCGGATCAAATATCATGTGCCTTTTATGGTGTGACCTTACTGCGTATACCCGGAATATAACAACCTTGGATGATTGTGAAATTGTGATGCAGAGATTTAGTAGACGACCTTTTTCTGTAGTGATAGTGTATTGCACGAAGTGTTCTAGATGAGTGCTAGTGAGCTTTTACCTATTTCTTGAAGGGTTAATTAATTGCCGGTACATCCTTTGCACTATAAGGACGTAACTATTTACATAAACTGTTTTATCAGCTATATGAATTTTAGGGGTGTAATCGTTAATAAAACAGCCTAGGAGTATAAATGAAGCTCCATAGTACAAGGGTGTAAACTTTTGACTTCCTCGGTGGCGTTGTAATATCGAAATGTCAAAATCCAGAAGCATGCGCTCAGAAGGAAAGTCTTCCCTATAATAATATTTTGTGCCGAAAGGTAATTTCTTCACAAAGTCATGTACTACTAGGGCCAGATTTTGACATCCTACAGATGAAACCTGAACATTTCCCCTATTCTCTTGCTTTCATTTAGCCCTACGCAGGCATTAGGCAATTCTCGCATTGTCAAACATAGTTTCAATTTATCAAGAAGAATCCTATTCAGGTAAAGCGTGCAAATTCTACATTTTATCATTTAAATGTTATAAGGTTATCTCAAGCATCTAAAACGACAGCCCATTACATTGTAGTCTTTTCTTTTCCACTTCACTAAATATTTACAACGGCAGCAAACAAGAAGATCAACACTACAGAGATTTATTCGCTCATATGCATATACTAGTGCATCGCCAAAATCTTCCTGAACTCGTGCTTCTTACTGCCAATGCATCCCTTGGAGACTAACGAGTTGATCCAAACCTGGTCTGATTTCACTGGTTCATCATCGTCATTCCTGTGCCAACTCCAAAATGCATGTGTTCCATTGACAATCTTTAACTCACCATGGCCAAAACTTGCTTCGCGGAAGACTGACCACTGCGGCTTTGGGTCGTGATACCTATAAGCATGATGAAATCAGATAGGAATAGATAGAAATGAGCTGCCATCTTACTGGCCAAAACTTAGCAAAAGGAGTTGCCACTTCATAAACATTATTTCCATGGAAATACTAACATCATCAAAATCTAAACACATCATCGAACTGGATATTTGTTACCTGTGAGCCAATCCTTCTCTGTTACCTCCATCACCAATGGTTACGTGTACGGTACCACAGGAATCCAACACATTTTTATAGATGGGTTCCTGGAGTAAAAACATATATTATGAACCTCCGTGCTAGTTTAAACGAAGAGATATAACAAACAAAATGCAAGGGCGTGGAGATTACCGAGCGTTCATATGCATGAACATGGCCTGCAAATAGAATATCTACACCAGCAGCGTAAAGCAAGGGCTCCAAAGAAGCCTTCATCCCATCCCCCTCCCCTTGGTGTGCATAATTGCTATTGTACCATGGGACATGCAATAACACCAGCAGCCATGGTGTCCTTTCTCTATCGACCTTAGCAAGATCCTCCTACAAAGTTGAATATAAATGAACATTCTACCCAAAGAACTGAAAATTAAAATTTCACTTTCCTTAGTTGATGACCTGTGAGAGAAGAGGGTACCTATGTATAAAAATAACTTTCTAAGAAGTTGAACAAATCTATAACTTGTTGAGAGGGTATTTTGAATGGAAGTTATAGGCATAAAATTTTCAGAAAATCACATGTCTAGTTCTGATAGGAACAAGCTAAAGCTAAATGCAACAGACAACAAATAACAACTCTTTTACCATGTGAAAGGCATCATGAAACACGTGCCTACACAAAAAAATGATAGTTAACCAGCATGAGATTAGTCGTCCTGCTTAAATATGCCCGAGAAGAATAGCTCTTAGGTTTAGTCTACCCAAAATAGAGGAGCAATAGAACTGTAGAGGTAATAATATATCTAAATGATTTCCTTCGTCTATGACAATATTCATCTCCTTGTTATATCATTTGGGTCTATCTTAGGCTTTGTCATTCAAATTATTTGCAAAATTCAGTTCTACCATTTTCCCCCTTTCCCACAAAAAATGAAACAACGAAATCGTAAAAGGAAATGCACACTGCTCTTGAAAGAGGGGGAAAAAGGTTGCTACTAAAGGCATAAATATTCCAACCAACCTTTAACCAGGCATACTGATCTGAGCCTTCATCATAATCTGTATAAGAACCAAGCATGATGACATGAACCCCTGCCACTTCAAAGGAGTAATACAAGTTTGAAGTAGATCCACTCTCTTCATAGGGCATCCTCCATCGTGCACTATATGCTTGAAACGGAGACTTAAAAAATAGTATGCTCTCCTTTTCATGATTCCCTTCTGTCACCATCCAAGGTCTAGCACTAGCAAGCGGCTGTACAAGCGCACCAAAAGAATCCCATAGATGCTGCATATAATCAGCATACGAAAGATCACCGGGAATTAGATGCATATCATATTTGCACAGACCAATATGATCTAGAGTGGTTTTTGTCCATTCAGTTTGACCAAGATCACCAGCTACTGCAAAAGTTACTGGAAATTGAGAAGGAGGGGTCTTGAGTTGGAATTGTGGGTCCTGACCTCCGCATCGGTAATAATAAACCGTGTCATCTTCAAGGGGTCCAATAACTACATGGTGTATAGTACCCGAATTATATAATAAGTAGCCATAGGATGTGTTTTCTCCCTGAGAAGATGATGTGTATTCTCCAGAGGAAGTTCCATATTCGACAATTGAAGGAGATGATCCATCATCAGTTATCCATGTGATTCTCATGTGCTTTTCCCCAGCCAAGGAGATATGAACCTGCAAAATGAAAGGCTTCTTTTGGAATTATTGAACTTTAGAAAGAAGCAGAAGCATGTAAAGAGAAGTCTCCTTTCTTGAGCAACACTATTACATGACCCGCATAAAAAGATATCTTTTGTGTGGCTGTTGTGGCTGCAATAGACATCTTTGAGTTTCACCAAGCCATCAGGAATTAGTAGAAAACATAAAATACAAGTCAAAATAAACCAAACTCACATTCAATTCTTTTGCAATTGCATCATAGAGAATATGGCAAGTGGTGAGTTGCCAAATCAAAAGAGAATCATAAACTGTGTCTCAGTCACAATATGAATATTGTGATTTGTGTTTCACGCCCTTCATTGACAAAAATCGAATTGCAGACAATATTTCTCCATTTTCCTAATTATAAATTCACTTTACAACCTATCCAATTTGTTTATCTACTGATCCATTTAAAAAGAGAAACATTAATGGGTAAACATCGTCTC